ATGCCCTGGCAGGGGAACCAGGAACGAAAGAAACAAACAAATACCCGGTATGCCAGAAAAGTGTATGCACGTGACTTGCATTCATCTTTTGTTATCGGTATATATTGAGTATGGCAATTTGAATACAGTTTTTTCCTTTCTTACAATGTGTATACATATTTTTTTGGCCCCCTCTGTACATGTAGATGGTGGTAAGTGGTGTGCAGAGAGCACAGGCACATGCCAAGCAGTGTGTGCACATGTGTGTACATGCATGTGTGTGTGCTCGTGGGAGCATTCTTTTATTTATTTGTTTTTTGTTGTTAATTGCTTTCTAAAATTTATTTTTCAATTATCGTTGACATCATGTTTTATGAGTTTCAGGTGTGCCACGCCGTGGTGAGACATCTACATACCTTACGATGTAATCACCACCGTCAGTCTCGTACTCACAGGAGCAATGTTTTGGTTACTGGTGTCAGTGAGGGCTCTTTGAGGAGTGACATTTGAGGACAGGACCAAGGGGATCTGAGTCAAGGAAATGTCTGGGCGAAGTGCACCTGGCACCTGGTGAAAGGAAGAGCAAACAGAAAGACCTTGAGACGGTTCAGGAGACGCCCTCTGCTCAGGGGCAGAGTGGGCCCAGGGTCTGTGGCCCCCCCCCACCCCCAGCCACCCGCTGAGCAGCATTCTCTGCACTTCTCCACCCCAGCCCATGCCAAACCGTGGCCACCTTTTGACACATAGACTCATCAATTTTTATTTTTAATTTTGGTAAAATATACATCACATAGAATTTACCGTCGTAACCATGTTTAAGGGTGCAGTTCAGTGGCATTAAGTACATTCACATTGTTGTGCAGCCATCACCACCATCTGTCCACAGAACCCTTTTGTCTTGTAAATGGAAACTCGATCCCTGTTAAACACGAACTGCCCATCCCCCCTCCCCCAGCCCCTGGAAACCACCATTCCGCTCCCTGTTTCTAGGAATTTGACCAGTCTAGATGCCTCATATAAGTGGAATCATGTAATATTGGTCTTTTTGTGTCTGGCTTATGCCACTTAGCATAACGTCCTCAAGGTTCACCCATGTCACAGCAGGTACCAGAATTCCCTTCCTTTTTAAGGCTGAATAATATTCCATTGTACATATAGACCACATTTTGTGTTTCCATTCATCCGTGGATGAACACTGGGTTGCTTCTGTCCCTTGCCTACTGTGAATAATGCTGCCTTGAACACGCATGTGCAAATCTCTCTCTCAGTCCCTGCTTTCAGTTCTTTTGGGAGTGTACCCAGAAGGGGATCAACAATTTTAGGCCACTTTCCCGTTGAGTTGCTCTACTGCTGTTTGCATGTAGCCACCTGTTAAGGGGTGCTGCCATGGTCTCCCCCGGGATGGTAAATTCCTGGTGGACAGGGAGCCTGCGTTCTACAATCCCGCACTCCGATGCTATGGAAGGCACACATTCTGCCCCCCAGAAGGGTTTATGAAAAGAGCAAATCTGGACAGGGCTGTTGCTGAGGGGAGGTGGGAGGCTGAGGGGGGGCTGGACTGAGCCCTCCCTGCCCCCCCTTGCTTGTTTTTTTATTGGTTTCCTCCAATTTTGTTTGAAAGGAAGGTACTGCCCCTACAATAAAAACTGATAGACCCCAAGTCCTTGTGGGAGAATTGGAAAGTCACTGAGGGTAAGTGACCTGCCAGGTGTCCCCTGCAGCTAGCGGCCAGGCTCCGATCCTAGGGTCCCCAGCCTCTGTTGAGCAGGCTGCCAACATGCCCCTGTCAGGAAAGGAAATGGTCTCCTGCTGTTTTCTTCCTTGCCCCTCATCTGTCTCTGTCTCACCTCAAAGCTCAGAGCAGTGCCAAGGACAGGGAGAGGGGAGACCCTCAGCAGACCCAGCCTTGGCCCTGGCCCTGGGCTCCAGCCAGGCCGGGCAGCCCCACAGGCAGCCCTCAGGGAGGGTTCCGTGTGTGGTGACCAAGCTTTCGTTTCCCATGAGCTTTAATCAAGTCAAGGTGTCTGGCACGGGGCACCTCAGGGCACCCCCACGGCGGCCACTCCGCCGATGCCCAGGTGGCTCAGCGAGCTGGAAATGGAGAAACTTCATAATCTGAGGCCGCTCCTCCCTGAGGAGAAGTCAGCGTCCTGTCGGCCTGGACTGTGTGTGAGATGGAGAGGCCCGAGGTGTGTGTGTGTGTGTGTGTGTGTGTGTGTGTGTGTGTGTGTGTGTGTGTGTGTTAGAGACAGAGAGAGGCTCAAGGTGTGAGTGTGAGTGTGAGGTAAGTCTGTGTGTATGAGAGGCCCCAAGTGTGAGTGTGTGAGTGTGTGAGTATGTGTGTGAGAATGTGGATGAGTGTGTGTGGATGAGACCCAAGGTGTGAGTGTGAGTGTGAGTGTGAGTGTGAGTGTGTGTGTGTGGTAGGGCAGAGGCAGCAAGAGAGAAAGGGACTGTGATGCTGAGAAACAGGGCCTCCTCAGAGAGCTGTGGGGTTGAGTGACGTGAAAAGCGCTGGGCAGAGTACCTGGCACCTGCCAGGGCCACGTGGGTGATTGTATTATTAGGGAGGCAGAGACAGGGAGAGGGCGTAGAGGCAGGAAGGGAAGGCGGGAGGCGGGGAGGAACCAGTCCTGGAAACCCTAGCAATTTAACAAGAAGGTGGATCTGGGCACAGCGCCCTCATCTGCGTGTTCTCCCGTGAAGTCGGCTACGCTCACCTGCCCCCCTGTTGTATTTTTAAATGTTAAGAACACAGTCTTGATTGTGCAAAGGAAATACTTTGCTGGATTCCCTGAAATACCTCAGCACAGTGCATAGAAAATCTGCCTGGTAACAGCTATTGAGATCCCAGGAACAGGGACAGGGACGATGGGGTCTTCGGTGGCCACTTGTCTCCCCTTGCCCACTAGAAAGGGTTGCTGTGTGCCTCAGCTCTCCCTGTCCTGCTTCCACTCGCCCCCCATAAATCATTTGGGTTTCATCCCATCTTCAGCAGCAGGAGGGGAACTGCTTCCCAGACGTATAAGATTAGGGGTGAATCCCACACAGATAACATCCCCCTGGATGGGGATGCATCCGGGGTCCCTCCGGACCCTGAAAAGTCTTCCCCGGGGCAGCTCCCCCAGAGGCTGGCGGGAGCGCAGTCCCCCACCTGCAACTTGATGGAGTCCCCCACTTTGTGGCTTTGTGGTGGCTCTAACGGACAAGGTGTATGGGCCCCCACGGTGTTTATGAGGACTCACAATTCAGGCCATCACAGGGGCACCTTCTCGTTTCTCCACGAGACTGACAAGAAGCCTTGGGAAGGTTTCTTTCCCAGCAGGACCAGGGGCTGGGCTGGCGGGCTGGGCTGGCAGGCTGGGCACACTGCTGTCCCCAGAACGGTCCCCATGCCTCGTGCTTGTCATGGCTGCACTAACTGCATTTCTGCACCCTTCACCTCTGCACCAAGAACAAAGCAACTGGCCAGACCAAACAACTGTTTGCCTTTGCCCTGTGCCCTGGGGCTGTGGGAAGAGAACCAGTGAGAAGCTTTCCGGGAAGGGAGGAAGAACTGGGCTTTTCTGGTGAGAATTCAAGAGCCACCTACACCTGGGGAAGAAGGATGGTGTGAGTGAGTGACGGAGGGACGCTGTGGGCCAACCAGTGGGCACAGCTAGTGAAGCTTAAACAGCAAATGCTATTGAACAGAATGCAAGTAGTCTTACGAGATATAGAGCGGCAAGCGCTGCTCCTTAGTGGGGAGAAAGATGGACAGACAGAGAGACAAAGGCAGAAAGAGGCATCTGGACACCCACCAGGGACATGTTGTAAGGAGTGGCTTCCAAGAGAAAAGCACAAGCCCTCACTGCGAGACTCAGACTAATTTAACCACCCGGCGCCTGGCCACCCAGCTCTGCATGGCTGCGCTGGGAAGGCTGTGTGCTGGCGTCCCCTCCTCAACTCCCCCCTACCCCGGCTTCTTCGGTTGCAACCCGCAGCGGATCCCAAGCTGGGTTATTACATCAGCGACTTCCCCCCCTTCCTCAGCCCCTGGGGAGCCCGGCCAGGTTGAAAAGCAGCAGGAACCTTTTCCAGCACAAATAAAAACGGTGATCTCAGGTAGCAGCCCTGATATTAGGAACCGGGGAGAGACAGCTTATGGATAGGAGCCAAGCCCCGCCCCTTTCAGGGCGGCAGGCCAACCTGGGAGACTGAGAGCTGGAGAGATGGTCCTTGAAATACAGGTTTGGTGACTTCCGACAGTGAATGGCCCTAAGTCACGGGGGAGCACTCCTGTTCCCTTGCCATCCTTCGCCTCTTTGCAGCATTTGTTGTAAAATAGAAAGGAACACACAGCCAGGGTCTCCCTGTGCCTTATGGGCAGAGAACAAATGAAGTAGTCTCCTGTGTGAAAAAGCCCATGTTTTCCCATACGCAGAGCAGGGAACAATGCCATCAAGCTCTCCTCTCCCGTTTATGTTCCCAAAAGCCCTTCCAGAAGAGAAAGCAAAGGCCAGTTTTGTGGATGTATGTCTAATACACAGACAGATATCTTTTATGTCGCTGTCATATTGAAAGTCAGTGTGTGTTCTGGCAGCCACCTTGACCTCCTCAGGAAGAAACTTAGATTGTGCCCCAAACCCCAGTGTGACAGGGAGGGAGCCCAGGATGCCAGCTGCCGCTTGGCTCCACAAGGTGAAGTCCAGGAGCCTGAGCCCAGGAAGGGGCCCCAAGCACCCCAACCCAGCCTGCTCTCCCCTCTTCCCAAGCTCTGCAGACATACCTGGTCCACAGAATAAAGGAGCCTTTTCCTGTGCATGAGTCCGGATCCTGACAATCTTACCTATGCCTTGTCACCAGAAATGAACCTGAATTCTACTCTCACCATCCCCCACTACCTCCAGCTTATCCAGTCTGAAGGCGCTTGATGGAAATGTAATAGTCTGATGAAAAACGGGAAAAGTAAACCCTTTTCTCATATATTGTAGAAATAATACAAGTCTTGGAACTAGACATGTTCCTACCATCCCTTCTAGAAACATTTCCCTGTGAGATGTGGTTCTGAGAGAGGAGATTGGAAATGCGGGAAGTGTAACGTGCGAGCCTCTGTGACCTGGGCCTGGCAACACACACCTGGTGATTTCATGTGGACAACATAGTGGATCACTCAAAGGTCAGAAAATCCCTCCCTCCCTCTGTTTTCTTCTCTCTCCCTTTCTTTTCCCTCCCTCCCTTCTTCCTTCCTTTCCTTCCTTCTCTCCTCCATCCCTCCTCCTACCCCCACCACCAATTCCCCACTTGTGTTTGAATCTCAGTGCTGTGTGAGTTGACTGCCTATCCTGTCTCCATTCCCTTCAGGAGTAACAGAGGAGGTTTGAAGATAACATATAACCAGAAAGAAACTAGAGGCCAGTCGGCTTCTTAAGAGATACCCATGGTCTTCTATAGCCCAGATGAACTTTGAATCGTGCCTCAACTCCGCCTTCAGGAATTACTACGCATAAAATAGTAACACAGCAAACCATGGCACTGCGCGTTCTCCATCAGCTGGAAGGACTTGTGTTCATCCTCCCTCGCTCTCCAGCCTGGCCGTTCTTTGTGCTGAGAGCATGTGACAGTTCTAAGAGAGGGCCCCTGGTAGAGGTTAAGATCTTGAATATGAAACATTTTCTTGTGTGCAGTCCCCACCTGTCCTGAGTAGCAATTACTATTATTATTATATGATTGCCAACAATGATTACACATGTAATTGTATACAGATCTATCATTACATAGATAATTTGTACGGCATTTACAGTTTTTTCAAAGCAACGTCCGTACATATCATTTGCTTCCCACAGCAGCCCTGTGATGTGGGAAGTCGGGTTATCTTCAAATATCCGGATGAGGAAGTCAATGTCCAGAGACAAAGTGACGAGCAGAAGCCCGGGAACAAACCCAGGGGCCTGACTTCTGGTTCTGGGCTTTTCTAAGACTCTCTTTTGTTTTCCAAAACTCCAGTCTTCCGAAACTATGTACTTCCCTTGTCGACTTATTCGTGCGTTCATTTCATGAATGGTTTTGAGCTCCAGGCACCTGTCTTCCTCTTGGATAGACAGCAGTGAAAAATCAAAGCCCACACCAGCTCTTTCTGTCCATAGGATCAGGCCCTGTGAGGGCCACCGCTGTGGTGAAGGGCACAGACGCTGGGGCCAGTCTGTGAGGATTAAATGACTCGATATTCATAGGTGCCTGGATCCTACCTGGTACACAGTAAGCCCTGCACAAGTGTTAGTCACGATGGTAGCCTCCTTTGTGGGGAGGCTGAAAAAACAAATGTGTGCCAAGATGATAAAAAGCTTTAGAACGCTTTGCAGCAAATTTTGGGTGACGACTTTACGCTTATTTCTTTCTGGTCTTTTCTTCTTGCAGTAACTACTTATTTTCTCTTCCCCCATACCCTTAATATAACATTATAAACATCTCATGGCCAATTTAAAAAGCTATGCATTTGGGCTTCTCTTCCAGAGCTATCTGCAGCTTTGCTCAGATCTCATTGTGTGCTTAATGTAACATTTAAAGTTAGTACCTGTCAAGGTAAGATAAAACAGGAGTCTTTGTGTATATAGGTTTGCATACTGGGGACTTTCACAGTGTCAGCGACATAGCCTGTGCCTCTGTTTTGACAAGTGGTGGTTTGAACATTCAAGGCTGAAACCCTCCAGTTACATCTCAGAAACAGCCTGACTCCCCTGCTCCCCCAGAACCATTAAAGTTTGCTGTGCTCTACAGGTCCCACCCTGTCTCCTGACTCCCCACTCATACCAGAGCACGGATAGAATTGATATTCTTTGTGTTCCTTCCAGAAAGTTTCCTCACAGCTCTGCCAAGGCAGATCAATTACCTGTATTACTTTTATTATTTAAATTCTAAATTTCTTCTTAGGAGAGTCTGCCTTCTGCCATGAATGAGGGGCTTGTGGGAGTGTAAAGCTTTCCATCTTAACCCAGTGCTTCTCAAGAGGAGGGTTTGTGCATTGATCCATGGCTAGGTTAACCATATGTCCTGATTTGTCAGGTTAATCATAGTTTATGTTTGGTGTCCTGGTATAATTATTAATAGTCTTTCATGCTTAAAAGTATCCTGGCTTGCGGGGCAGCCAGGTGGCACAGTTGGTTAGAGCACAAGCTCTCAGCAACAGGGTTGCCGGTTCGATTCCCACATGCAATGGTGGTCTGTACCCCCTGAAAATGGCGACTGGACTTAGAGCTGAGCTGCGCCCTCCACAACTAAGGCTGGCGGACAACAACTTGACTTGGAGCTGATGGATCCTGGGAAAACACACTATTCCCCAATAAAGTTAAAATTTAAAAAAACAAAGAATTCTTCTGGCTTGGGTGATCAATAATATTACAATCATACAACATGCTAAAAATTCAGTTGCAGTGTGGCAGTGTCAGGTCACTAAATATCCATGTGCACCCTGACATTTCCCAGTTTTCCTTGCAGATAAATTGAGACCCATGTACTACTAGTGTTGGCCAATGCAGTGGTGAGTGCAAGTGAAGTGTCACTTCTGGGCCAAGGCAGTGAAGAGCTGCTGTCCCTTCTACACATCTCTCTCTGTTCTGTGGTGACATTGTCCTGTGATGGCAGCATAACCTGGAGACTGAGTCACCCCTAGAAGACACCCCTAGAGGGAAGCTCTCGCCGACCTGCCCCTGACTTGTGTGAGAGAAGTAACTGTTCGCTGTGGTAAGTAGCTGAGCTTTCTGGTTGTTACTACAGCATAGCAGTGCTGACTCATGCTGAAATGAGAACTGTTACAGCTCTGTCTGTAAAGAGGATTATCTAGAAAGGATACAGGTTCTCTTTTAGGTCATAAGAATACAGGGGTCTCCTCTTGGCTTGACTCTGAGGATGCTGTTTAAAACCCCATCCACCCTGCCAGTCACCATTGTGTTATCTTGCTTTGTTTTTCTTCATAGTACTTATTGACATACATATGTGTCATTGTGTCTCCCCCACTAGGATGTAAATTCCATGAAGACAAGCACCTGTACCTTAAAACAGGGCACACAGTAGTCACGGTATAATTTTCAAAAATGAATTGTGGTCTCAAAATTCTGTAACAATCATCTCTGAGATTCATGAAGGGAATAAGGGAAAGGCCCTCCCTCTGGCCATTAATAAAGGCTTAAAACAAATCAATGATGGGGTGGAGATAGAAGTCAAAGACAGACTCTACCTTCAAGGGGTTTTCAATCTAATTGGGAGACAAAATACAGAGGCATGAAACAAGCAGGGAGCAAAAATCTAGGTACAAAACAGTTAGGTCCTAGGCGTGTGCCTAAATTTGTGAGGGATGAAGGGGAGGAGACCCAGGCAGGGGTGCAGCTGACCACGGTCACCTCTCTGGAACGGACGGGCTGGACACAGGACCTAAGGCCATGGATCCTTAACTTGGGCTTGTATGGGAATCACCTGGAGGGCTTTTAAAACCCACACTGCTGGGCCCACCCCCAGAGTTTCTGACTCAGCAGGTCTGGGCTCAGGCCTGGGAATTTAAGTTTCTAACAAGTTCCCAGGTGGTGCTGATGAGTCTGGAAGAAGGGGGAACCACACTTTGAGAACTGCTGCCCCATGGCAAGCCACGGTTCTGCGAGACCCACTTGTCTTTTAAATAAAGTTTTATTGGAACATGGCGGGTCCCTTCCCTTGATTATCTATGGCTGCTTTCAAGCCACAACAGCATAGTTGAGGAGTTTGGAGACCATGCTGGGATAACAGGTTAGAGTGTTCTTGTGCCTGGATTGGACGAGAATTGTCCTAGAGCCAAGAGCAGCCTACATGCCTGTGTTCATGCTCCCTTCCCTTCTGAACCAGCGAGCGCACGCATCTGCATGCTGGCCTTCCCAGAAACAGCATTTGATCTGTAAGTATGCCCTGGAGGCCGGGGGCTGGACGGAGCCTGTAGCCTTTCCACCATTCCCTCCACGCACACTTCTTCCCTCCTGCAGAGCCCTGAGAGCCAAGGATTCCACACTCTGTGCCCGGCCTGTGGTCTGCTTGGGAGGACAAGTACATAGGAGGCCTGGAGCAAAACAAAACATAATGTCTCATTGGAGCTGAGCTCTGTGGAGCACCTTACATGCTTACAGCATCAAAGGAGGAAGAAACTCCTGTGAATCAGAGTTGGTGCAGTGTTAAGCTTGCGGGTATTACTGCTGGATCCCTGGTTTGATTTAATTAAACTAACTCTGCCTGTGAATTGGTTCTCAAATGCTAATTGGTAAGTGGGCAGCATCAGAATCACCTGGATGGATAAAAACAAAAATGAAAAACAAAATGCTTATGCCCGTCTTTCCTGGAGAGTTTGATTTTCAGCAGATTTCTGCGTTTCAACTCCCCACCCTCCATCCCCACCCCAAGTGACTGATGCACAGCAAGTAAATGCTGTCAAGTGGAATCTGGGGTTTGTTTCACATCATTTTAGTGATTCAAGGGGGGTGTTAATGCTCTCTTCGTGGGATCTGCCAATGTACCTTAAATCCCAAAAGAAGTCGCTTATGTGCCACCGGAGGTCCTGATTGGCTGTGGCTGAGATGTGGCGTCAGGTTCTCATCAGGATTCAAACTTTCTTACCTTATGGGCCCTGCTTTCTGTCTCCCACTCAAGGCTTGATTTTCCCCTGAAGAGCAGTAGTTTTCAAACTGTGGGTTGGAATCTATTCATGGGTTATTAAATCAGTTGAGGAGGGTGCAACCAGCGTAAAAAAAAAATAGACTAGGGGAAAAACAAATCAGAGTGCATGATACGTGTTAAGGATAAGAGCAGAGAACAAACTGATGGTTGCCAGAGTGCAGAGGGGTTGGGGATGGGTGAGAAAGGTGAAGGGATTAAGAAGTACAAATTGGTAGTTACAAAATAGTCATGGGGATGTGAAGTATAGCATAGGAAATATAGTCAATTGATGTTGCAACAACTATGTATAGTGCCAGGTGGGTACTAGACTAATCAGGGGATCACTTCTTAAATTGTACAACTGTGTAACCACTATGCTGTACACCTGAAACTAATATAAAATAATACTGAATGTCAACTGTAACTGAAAAAAATGAATAATAAAATGTAAAAAATCATACACACACACACACACACACACACACACAAAGGGCAAGCACTGTTCTGCAGAACCTGTTTTGGTGGTTTTTTTGGTGGGTGTGTTGTACATTGGGTTGCCTTGTGTTTCTTACTATGCCTTATATCGAAAGACATTGGTAAGTCTCCATTGTACAGCATCGAGCAGCCATGACCCTAATTTACTTCGGACAGCTCCTGTCTCTGCACAGAGGACTGATGGCAGAGGTTACCAAGGAGGGCAGGCTGTCCTGTACAAGTACCTCAGGGATGCCACCTGGAAACTAACAGAAAACCGATTTGTAGATGACCACAGCCTAAGAAGAAAAATCAATGACAGGCAGTTTCAGGGAGTGGCAGCAGACGCAGCCCTCTACACTGTCATCTGGGGACAGCTGAGTCACCTGGAGCCCAACCTGGCCACATTTCAATTTCCCCTTCCTTGAAATGGGGATAATCACCCTACTGACTATTCTTGTTCGGGAAAGACCAAATTGGGGGTAGGAGAAGACTCTATCCAATAAAGGGTGAACCGCAAAGCTCAGGCCCATTGGTGGCCTTTCTTGATGATCTGGTAGGTGTCCTTCTATTGGCATTAGGGGACGGAAAGGGAGGCCTGTTCTAAGATTAAGTCCAGGCAACATGGGAGTCAGAGAGGACATAGATGAGAGCACAGACCAGGCAGACCTTATGTCAAGGGACTCTTTTTCCGGCAGGCAACTATGGGGTCTGATCTTTCACAGTAAACACTAGGTCTTAGTGACCTAGAAGAGGACAGCCAGACAGAGCCAACAAGATGAGGGGACCAGCTCGCAGAGCATGTGTGTGTGCAGCCCTTGAGTGGTGGGAAATGTTTTTTGCTTAGTGGGTGGGAGTCGTGGGGAGCACAGGAGTGGCAGTTTCATGCGGCTGCCAATTTTGGACTAGCCCTGCTATCCTCTCTTTTCAGTGGGAAAGAAGAAGGTGGGAGGGAAACTTGGAGGCTGGGAGAAAAGGAAACCTTAGAGTATCACTAAAGGGTCTGAGGTAAAAGACTAGTGGACAAAAAAACCCCGCCCTCCGTTTTGAAGTGTCCCCCTTACAACAATGTCGCTTATGTGGTCGAGAGGTCCTGGCCACTTTGACCACTTTCACTTTTAAAGCTCTCACAATATTAAGGGATGAAAAAATGGCCAAGAATCCAAAGATGGAATTTAAAAAACAACAAAGGTCTGTTTAAAGTTGTATGGTGGACACCTTTAATCCTGTCAGAGATCTCAGCAGCTGTCCCTGACTTCCTTAGGTGACATCAGAAGTCAAAATGGCAGGCCACCTCCTGGCCCCCCACCCCTCCCCGTTCATGCCAGGATAGACATTGCTTAAGGCCAAGCGTTGGCTGCCTTCACTGCTTGAGAATGCGACAAAACCTCATTCCCTCTTAAGCTGGGCTTTCTCAGGATTGTAGTTCTCAACATTTAGAATGCATAAGCCTCACCCAGGCTTGTACCAAGCGTTTCTTCTTAGCCCCACCTGTGATGATTTGGATTTAGCAGGTCAGAGGTGGAAGCCAAAAGTCTGCATTTTGAGACACATCTTCTCCACTCTCCACACACACATGCAGGCAGCCACAGATAGAGAGGCTGGGGGGCTGGTCAGGGAGAGGGGGTCCTTGCCTACCAGCCCTGGGCCTCACCCACCCAGCCTCCCAGCTGAGCACCCAGAGTGCGAGGACTCCTCCCGCCCCTGGTCCGTGTGGGCGGGGCTAGGCCTGAGGCTGGAGGGTTTTCACAAGAGGCCTCAGACATCTGCTTCTCACCAAGCCCCCAGGCCGACCACAGAGGAGATAGCGGTTCACGGGACTTTAACACACACTGTAGGTGCTTTTTCTGGATTGAAAAAAAAAAAGAATGACAACAGCAAAACAACAAAAAGGCCAAAAAAAACCCCAAAACCAAACAAAAAACAAAAAAGAAGAGAGAGAATGTGTCACATGTGTGGAAAAACCCAAGGCCACTAGAGCTGCCCAGGGATTCCTGTCCAGCCAAGACCGTGAGGGTCGCCCAGCCGCCTGCTGGGTACATCCAGCTCTGCTTCTGCAGACACAAGTTCCCGGACCCTCCCCCAGATGCATCCTCAAGTCCCCACCTCCTGCCCCAACCCGCCGGAGCTGATCTG